TAGCAATGAGACAGTTTCAAACCAAATTGGTAGGACAGTTTCAATAATTAACACATTGCATACGTTCTTCCTAGTGGTTAATTGCTGTACAAGATGCGGACATGATATCCTATTTACAAACACCATCAGAACAAATCCTTCTATTCATTAAGAGAATGTAACTATATATCTAACCTAACCACTTTGAATACACAGATACAAAATGGACATTCATCTGTATCCCTTTTTTTGTTAAGTTCCGTTATTTGAATATTATAGGTGTGTAAACTCAGCAAAATATTCTAAAAGAGTCCAGTAGCCCATGATAGTATTGGGTCTTCCGCTTCACTAGCAATGTCAGAAATTGTTGCCGAGTCCCCTACAGCTCAACATAACACCATGGCTTTACTTCTTATATTTCATTTTTATACTTTTCTGCTGGATGGTTAAGACCAAGGTAAAGCAGGACCTACGCAACAAGAGTTGTAGCTTTTGGGTCTGATAAGGTCAGCCAGATCCACTCAGGATTTATTCTGAGATCCTGTACCTCAGATTGTAAAACCTTTATCAGTGTCAGCCATGTGGATGAGTCACGGCCATTGCTTGGCCAATGTGCTTTCTGTGAAAGCCTGAGAGAATGTTTTCTCTCCATGTGACTCTCCTTAGGCACACTCTATATCATTGATCACTTTCCTCTTTGGCCCCATAATCTCCTTGATCAGAAAATTTGGGACACTACCGAGGTACATGACGTTACAGTATAAGTTCTCATATGTCCTGAGTCTTAATTGACCTTGGAAGGCTAGGGCCAAAATGTTGGCTTTCCTTGCAGCCCTCCTTTTTCTCTAATTTTGGTCTGCAAACTTAGGTTGTTAACCATCCAGAAGACAAGCTTATTGTTATTACCATACAACCTAGGCTGCTAAGCTTAACCTCACTATCTTTCTGAATATTAAACATCTCAGGCATAACATGGAACAGGTATTTTTCATCAAGTATTGATATGTTGAATTTTAAGTCCCTACAGAATATGATGAAAAAACATTTAAAAATTAGAATATATTTTAAAAAATAGGCATAAAGAATTATATACTTATGTTTACACATAAGTCCAAAAATCTAACCATATACAACCTTGAAGCAGGACAGTACCACAATATTCCTTTTCCTGTCTCTTGCCTTCATTTACTACCCCCCATTTTTTTTTTAATTTTTATTTATGTGTGTGTGTGTGTGTGTGTGTGTGTGGCCATCTCAGCCCACCAGGGGGCGGGGCTGGCTGGCATGTGGTGCTGGGGGATTGAACCGTGGTCCCTGTGCTTTGCTAAGCTTGTTCTAAGTAGTTGCTTTAGACCACTGAGCCATCTCTCCAGCCCCCCCTTCTTTTTGAACAACCATCTACCCAAGAGAGAGCACAGCAGAAACTGGCATGTCATGACAAACAGCCCGTATTCAGAAGACCAGAATGACAGGCACTCCAAGCATGAAACTACTATTACAGATTACCATCTGCAGTGCAGTTGCTTATTTCACAGGCCATCAGCATATATAGTTAGTCAGGGTGTTAAAAACCATATTAACTATAAAGAGCTTTTTATGTTTTTCAAATTCTTCTTAAAAGAAAGCTCTGCTAATTGACTTACAAAAGTTCTAACTAGTCTTTCATAATTACAAACTTAAAAAGATTACTATAATTTAACCTGGCTAGAAATATATTTGAGTGCACTTTGATTTTGTAAAGATGTTTATGTGTCCTATGTATTTGTTTATATGTTTCCATGTCATTCTATAAACAGTAGTTCCTCTTTTTATTTCAGCTTTAAAATATAGACTTAAAAACATGCTTTCTCCTGAGTTACCAGCTGGTCTAAGTGATATCAACATTGACTGACTCACAGGTCATCAAAATATTTAAGCTAATTAAAAGTAATTAAGATGGGGAGAGATTATTGGACAACACTCCTATTGGTGGATAGAAGGGTAGCCAACCTTTACCTATTAGTAAGAAGTGCCCCCAATAATCTCCATAGTCTCTTGGAAGATGCCCCCAAAAATTTGGTCATTGGTTAAAAGATAAAGTTTCTTTAAAAAAATAAAATAAGGTCTTCTCATAAAAGATGTGCTTGATATAGTAAATGTATTCATGCCTTCCAAAGGTATAGTATTCTACAATGTAAATTTCCTTTCAGATTTAAATATATGCCTTAGGGCCGGGGAGATGGCTCAGTAGAATAAGTGCTTCCCTGTCAAGGGCAAGGGCCTGAGTTCAATCCCTGGTTCTGCAAATAAATAAATAAATAAATAAATGCCTTTTTTTATGCTTCAGATATAAAAGGTTCATATCAAGCCAACATGGTCATCAGTTAAATGATAATTTTCTAACAAAACTTACGTGATATGACTATTGATGTCAAATTGTCCTCTAAAATTATGTATCTGTTGTCTGTTATTATTCTACAAGGATTTAATTACTAGAATTTCTATTCTTGGTTAAAAAAAAAAACCATTCTCTGGTTACACTTTATATTTCAAGGCTCTTAATACACAGATTAAAAAAAGAAAAAAGAAAAAAACTCAGATAAAACTTTAATAATTAAGTGTATTGCTCCCAACTGAGTATAATAATGTAGATTCAGATTCTCCTGGAAGGAACAACTGTATTTTATTATTATTATTATATTATTATTATTATTATTATTATTATTATTATTATTATTATTTGGTGGTACTGGGGATTGAACTAAGGCCCTTGTACTTGCCAGGCAAGCGCTTATTCTACTGAGCTACCTCCCTGGCCCCTGAACAGCTGTTTTTAATTCCTATTTTATACCCTAATCTGCTCCTGACTTTCATGCCAATCTTAAATGACAGATCTCAGCCCTCAAACCCCACAGGGAAACAATCTGACTTTCTGTGTCTTCAGCAATACACACAAAGAAATTACTAAACACAAGTGCCAGCTTTTGGCGGTGACACTCCATACTGCCATTAAAGCAGGAACTTGGCAAGGTAATGCTGAGCCTAAACAATGCTGCCACTTGAGTTCCTCCTGAACCATGTTTCAAGTGTGGCAAAGAAGGACACTGTTCACAAGCCTGTCCCAACCTACAGCCACTATAAGGACCTGGTTCCATCTGCAGGATCAATGGTCACTGGAAAAGTGACTGCACTGTCTGCCAAAAAGTGGTTAAGTCATCCAATTCCCTGCCCTCAGAGAAAACAGATCCATCAATACTTGACCTGCTGGGTCTTGCTGCTGAAGAGGAAAATGGGTGAAGAGGAACAATGGGACTTGGGGTACAAGGCCCCATCAAGGTATCTGTCAGAGTCCCAAGTCTCACTGGACATCTCAGGTAGGACACTTTTCTTGCTGATACAGAGATGACATATAGTATTTTTCTAAGTTTTCAAGTCACTGTATTAGATCTACTGTCTCCCTACTGGGTGCTGATGGCCAACCTATAGGACCCCTTCAGATAGGGCCCATTACCTGCTGACTCCAGACACTGTTTTTCACTCATTTTCCTTTTGATCGCAACCTGCCCCATACTGCTTGCAGGGAGAGATCGCCTTCCAAAGTTTTACGTCTCTTTTACCTCTCGCTCTACAGTGCTAGTTCTACAAACCCAGCCTCAATGTGCCACCAGCCCCTCCATCCCTCTTTTCTTGTAGAGCACATACTCTATGACACTTCCAGTCCCACCTGTGCTACCCATGCTACCCCAGTACTAGTTTACCTCACCCATCCTTTAGCCTTCCCCTGCACTACCCAACATCCAATAGCCCCTAAACACCAATGCAGAATAGAGGCAAATGGGCTTTTAAAGGCCCAGTTCACCAAACTTATCCTGGAGCTACACCTGCCCTGGCCTCAGCTTTTTTCCTTAGTGCTAGCTAGACTTAGGGCACTTCCTAGGGCACCCACTTCCTAAGTCCATTCAAGCTCATGAATGAAAGACCTTTTCTTCTTTAAAACTTCCCTGTTCATGATAACCTTCCCCCTCTTGCTGACTATATTCCTGTCTTATCCTTCTTCTGATACCTGCCGCAAAACATGCAGATGCCTGTCTTCCACAACCAGTAGATACCACTCAATTGGTACCATCCATATTTCCTGGAGATTTAATATATCTTAAATCCTCTAAGTCTATAGAGTTAGATCATACATGGACAAGCTCCCACCTGAAGGTCCTCTGAACAGCAACAATGGTAAAAGTTGCCAGCCAGCCTTCCTGGTTCCAAATCACCTAAGATAAGTAGTGTCCCGACAACTTCACTCCACCTGACAACTCCACTCCTCCTGATCCTGAGCCCTTGTTGCCTGAGCGGTCTTCTCAACTCCTGTCCCCTACACATCTCCATCTAACTAAGGGTTCTAAAACCCCAGGGTAACTCATGTATTGCTTCCCCATCTGGTAATTCCCTATCGTCTGCTAGTCCTTTCATTTGCCATTGGACTCTGGCCCATTTGCCTGGACAACTTTCAGATGCCACACAAGATTTTTTCAATCTCAGATATGAGTCCAAGACTAACAACAAACTCGTTCTGCTAAAAAAACTGGTACTACCTTCTATATTGGTGTAAACCATCAGCCTGTCAATTCTCCTTGCCCCCAAAACAACACTCCCATTCAGCAGGAAGCAGTGTAAGGGACACACTGCCCCTAACTAAAAGACGGGAATGATAGGTTCCAGTCTAAGTAAAAGGTGCTAAATTGTAATGGTCCTGATTCAACATAGCTGAATCCTCTTATTTTTTCCTGGCACACATGAGAGAGCCAATCAGCTCCTTACATGTAATTAAAATGGCCTCTCAAACTCCATGCCTAATAAAAGCCCATGAAATTCTCAGCATTCTTTGTCTCAGGTCAGAGGATCTCTTGCCATGTGCTCTCGATCCTCTCTGTGTCTTTTGAGTTAATAAAGGCTTCTTTTATCTTTCCTATCTCTTTACTGAACTGAAGAAAAATTTAACATGCACCACCATGCCCAGCAGCAAACTTCTGTTGAACAACTACAATCAGGGGAAGCATGAATGCAGTCTCCCACCATCAGAAATTATGCAATGGAATTTTTCATATTTGGAGAAATCCAAGGGATGAGTATGTTTGGAATGCAATGATAAGTCTCTCCTGAGAAAAGCACTTTCATGATCATGGTATCTCCTGTACCAAGTTAAGTATGAGTTTCCTCTGTTGCCTGGCAACTCAATTGTAGATTGAAACTGCTGTTAGTTTTACTTTTTTTTTTTTTTCACGCAGACTATCAACTCCCAAAATTCTGGAGTAAAGAGTTTACAAATTATAACCATGCAACAGTAAATTATATATACAAACTGAGTGTGGTGGCAGGCTGAAACTGAGAGATTGCAAGTTGCAGTCCAGACTGGGCAACTTAGTGACTTAGTGAGATTCTCTCCCCCATCCCCCCTAAACAGCCCAGGGATAGAGATGTAGCTCAGTGCAGAAGGCCCAGGTTTGATTTCCAGTATCACACAAAAAGAAAAAACGACTGCCAAAGTGTGCCAATCTTAGGAAATCTTAGGATTAGGAAAATAGGTGTATGGTAGGAATGACCAGCAGTCACTATATTTATCTACAAATATCATATTCATTATACTGAACTTATTCAAAATGACTTGGTGACATTATGGGAAAACTTAAGATGAGTTTCATGGTATACACCTGTAATCCTAGCACTCCTGGAAGCTGTGACAGGAGAATCCAAGTCTGAGTCCAGTGTTGGCAATTTAGTGGTGATTATTGAGACTGAAAGCTTATGTCCATATAAAAATATTTCAAAGGGTGTAGGGATATAGCTAAGTACAAAGGCCTTGGGTTCAACCTATAATACTGGGAAAAAAATCAAATAAACCTTAAAACACTCTATGAGCTGGGTGTGGTGGCACATGCTTGTAATCCCACCACTTGGGAGGCTTAGCCGGGAAGGACTGCTTCAAGTTTGAGACCAGCCTCAGCTACAAAGTGAGTTCAAGTTCAGCCCCAACTGTACAGCAAAACCCTGTCTCAAAACAACAAGAACAACAAGGGGCCGGGGAGATGGCTCAGTAAAATAAGTGCTTTCCTGGCAAGCGCAAGAGCCTGAATTCAATCCCTGGTTCCACCAAACAAACAAACAAACAAACAACAACAAAACAGTACTCTATGGATCAAAAGCTAAACAACATAAACTAGCTCCTAATTTCATGAATTCCATTATAGTTTGGACCTAGAAAGTACCCCAAAAGATTCCTGTGTTCAGAGGTTGGGTTTTTGGAAGCTGACTGGATCAAGGGATTGCTATAATCATCAATAGGTTAGTCCACTGATAAATCTATAGATAAATATACTATTAGAAGGTAGAGCTTGGTCAGAAGGCAGGTTACTGGAGTGAAACTGAAAGGCTATACCTCTTTCCCTGGCTCCTTACTTTACTCTGTGTTTCCTGGTGACCATACCATGAGCAGTTTTTTCTCTGTAGCAGGTCCTTCTAGCATGGTATTGCTGCATTTTGAGCCTGCCAACAATGGACTGAAACTTCTGAAAATGTGAGACAAAATACACTTCTCAAGTCATGGCTGTGGTGTATTGTGCCTCAGAGACAAGGAAAGTGATTATGACAGATTTTGACACATGGGACATAGGGTTGCTGCTGTGAATACACCTATATGGTTTAAAAGCTTTTGGAACTGGTTTGAGGGACAACTTTCAAAAGTTCAGAGCTTCTGACTAAAGAAGGTAAAAAATAATGCTGTAAGCTCAGCTTGATAGGAGATTCTCATCAGATCTATCAGTCACTAGATAAATTTGTATCACCGTGTCACTAACTTTGCCAAGGTATGAATAAACATCCATATTGTTGCTCCGGTGGTCTTGCCAACCAGGCAGATGAATCACCACCTAACCCAGCTTTTGTCTTTTTGTCTATCCTTACCTCATTCCTGCCGCCCAGGTAGAAAGGATCACACTGGGACCCATGGATCCTTACATCTGGTATTAGATCAGGATACCCGTTATAAGTGTGGCAGGAACACTTCCAAAGAGCATGAATAAGGGAGGGAAGTGGATTGGTCAGAGCCAGCAGTATTCAGCACAGGTGTACACTGGTACTGGCACATAAGGTATAAAACCTGGGGATGGAGGCTCATTAGGGCTAGAAATGGGTTTACTAGGGCCAAAAAATGGGTTCACCAGGGTCAGAGAGGTAAATGAGCATAGAGAGAAACAGGTTTGAGAGAAGCCAAAAAAGAAAAAAGTAGGATTAAGTTAAAATGGGACAGAGAAGGCCGGCCAGATAGCTCAGCAGACTAAAGCACCTGCTTAGGCAGAGTGCAGCAGGCAGGGTTTGATCCCCGGTGTACCGTGCTGGCCCCACCCCCAGGGTACGCTGAGACTGAGATTGAGACTGGGCGTGATGGTGCACGTCTGTAATCTCAGCACTTGGGAGGCTGAAAGCAGGAGAATCACTACAAGTCCCATCTACGTAGAGACCCTGTACTAAATACATTTTTTTTAAAAAAAGGAACAATTTCAAGAATTGTAGATATTTATAGATGTATACAGATGTATGTAAAAATGTTTGTTGTTTTCTTGATTCCTGTATTTGTGTTACTAAGACCACCATAGAAGATTTAACATGGAGTACTGTTTTAAAATTAAGTTCCAAATGGGACAGGTATAGCAGATAGAGTTTAAACCTAGCTTTGCTCAATTTGGTAAAAAAGGTAAAAGTTCTTTTAAATTGCAAGCAGTTGGTTTCAAGCAGAATGCTGCCACTGGGGGAGGGGCACATGGGCTCAGCTTCCCCCCCCCCCCACGTTCTAGTCTTAGGCAAGCAGGGACCCGGGTTCCATCCTTGGCACTACATGCCATCCTGGCACCACAAGCAATGCCAGCCCTGCCCCTGGACGAACTGAGTCAGCTGTTGGGACCAGGCATGGTGGCATATGCCTGTAATACCAGTGGTGGAGAGGCTGAAAACAGGAGGAGCACTAGGAGTCTGAGCTGCGAGTGAGACCCTGTACCTCAAACCTACCTCTACTGAATGAACATTACAGGCTCAGGGTCACAAAGCTGTCACTGAAATCCAGGACTGAATCACTGAAGAATTTATCCTATAGGAAACTCTTGAGTTCCCTAGATTCTTAATAGACTCCTCAAAAAGAGCAAATCACTTTCAAATGCTAAACCCTAGTCTTAGAAAATCTGTGCCTAGTAATGACTTCTTAAAACAAGCAGTCTTTAAGAGCCAATGATCTTCATAGTTTCAGAATTTCATAAGAATTTCACTGTTATTGGCCCAGTTATCAAAATATCTGCTTAAGATAGTCTGTCTTATGGCAAAAGGTGACTGTCCTCTACTTTTATAGTTCAAGCAGCTTGAAAAAAATGTTACCAATATCATCTTCACAGATGCTCTACAGACATTATCTCTTAAGAAATGCCACAATATCTCAATTAGAAAAACACAAACTATGATTGTTAAATACTAGCATAAGTTAGAACAAAAAAGTAGAGAAGCATTTTAGTTCATTGCCTGTTGCCCAAAGCACAATGAATCTGATAATTATTTATTTATTTTTAAATTTTTTTAAAAATTTATTCATTTATTTTGTGTGTGTGGCCAGCTCAGCCCACCAGGGGGCAGGGCTGGCTGGCATGTGGTGCTGGGGGATTGAACCACGGTCCCTGTGCTTTGCTTAGCTTAGTTTGTTCTAAGTAGGTGCTTTAGACCACTGAGCCATCTCACCAGCCCCTGATAATTATTTATGAACACACACAGAGAACTTTCTAAGTGTCTACAATCTTTGAAAACTGACTATATTAGGATTTTTTTTAAAGCACAATGACCCATGAAGCTTTTCTGTTCTGTGTTTTTTTTTTTTGCATTACTAAGGACTGAACCTAGGACTTTCTAACTAAGCTACATACCCCCTCCTTTTTTTCTTTTTTCTTGTTTTTTTGAGACAAGGTCTTACTAAGCCACTAAACTGTCCAGGTTGGGGTGGAGATACAGCTCAGTGATAGATCACTTGCCTACTATGCAAAAAGCCCTAGGTTCATTTTGTAGCACCAAAAACCAAAACATTAAAAATTGCCCACATTGAGCTTGAACTTGTGATCCTCCTGCCTGAGCCTACCAGAGTCCATGGATTGAAGCATGGGCCATCATACCTGGCTGTGAAGTTTTATTTAACAGTGTGAGGCAAAAGTACATAAACTTATGATAAAATCGGCATTTCGTATAGATGAGGAAAAAGAATAATTATGAGGACTGTTAAATCAGCTCATCACTGAGAGAAAAACAAAAAACACTTCTAATCTTTTTTTTTTCCTTTTTGGTGCTAGCAATTAAACCCAGGACCTTGCACATGCTGTCTTTATATATTTAAACAAAAATCAGGTAATATATGTAAATGTAAACCTAAACCATGGGCAGAAAAAGATGACAATGAAAAAATTATGTTTATAATTTTGAAGACTTTCTAAGCATGTTACTGAAGTCAGAATTAGTACAAAATCCAGATTCATACAACCCAGTCACTGGGTCCTGCTTCTTGTATTTTATGCAAAACCAGCTCAAAAGGGTGCCAGTGACACTAGGATGAAGCTCATGAGAATTTTTTATGCAACTTGAGTTACGAAACCATCACCACTGAATTGAAGAATGGAACACAGGTCCATGGAACAATCACAGGTGTAGATATCAGCATGAACAAACATCTTAAAACTGTGAAGATTACCCTGAAGAACAGAGAGCCAGCGCAGCTGGAAATGTTGAACATTTGAGGAAATCACATTTGCTACTTCATTCTGTCAGACATCCTGCCTCTGCACAGGCTACTTATTGATGTTGAACTTAAGGTGAAATCTAACAGGAAGAAAGCTGTAGCAAGAAGAGGTCAAGGCCGAGGCTTAGGAAGAGGACATGGTCATGGCAGAGAATGAGGGGGTCCCAGGCAAAGATGACTGCTGCAGAAGTGACTGGGGATATTTTTTGTAAAGTTTTGTCAGTTTTTAATAAACATAATTGTGGGACAGAGTTGTTTATTGACTCATCAAGTTTAAGTTTTAGCAGTGTATTTGTGAAATTAACACAGTGCCAGCAAATCAGTTCCTTTTTTTTGGGGGGGGTTCATATTCTCAGTGCAGGCTGGCCTCAAACTAACTGTGTAGCGGCTGGC